TTTAGAGTAATAGTAAAAAAAGATAATGATTCAGTTTTAATTATTGAAAATATGTATAAAATACTTTGCAAAATATATGCTAAAGTTAATCTATATAATGAATAAAAGTAATTATAAAAGTCAATTAGAAAAATGTAAAGATGAATTTGACAAGCTATTATTAAAAAGTTTGGTAACAATTGCATAATATGTGCAGTATAAAAACCATTATTTCATCTATTAGCTACAAAATTTATAATTACTATAATTTTTTATCTTGATTTCAGATAAATTAATACTATTTTAAATATTTTATTATCTTAAAAAAAATTTAACAATAATATTAATTATTTTTAAAATAGATTTAATTAATCTATTATTTAATGCTAATGATAAATATAAATATATTTGCTATGTTAGAGACTATTTTAGCTATTTCTTATAAGCAAAACTTCTTACATTAAATAAGCTATAAAAAGTGCAGCTTACTTATTTGATTTATTTTATTTATTGGATTTATTTTCAATAATATATTAGTTAAATAATAGTAAAGAGTTTTGTATATTTGTAATTAAAGAATTTATACAAATATGACTATCTATAAAAATTATAAATAGATGCCTACACTATTTATAATTTTAGAGTTTAGTAGAATGTACAAATAGAATTCTTTAGCAAAAGCTAAATAAATAAAAAAAGAAAACAAAATGAAATAATTAGTTATTTGAACTTTATTTTGCTATATTCTCAATAAACAATAACTATTACTAATTTTATAAAAAAAATTATATAAATTAATATATAATGATAAATCTACAAAAAATTGCACATTGGTTAATACACTATTTTTAAAAAACATTCAAAATAAAGAAAATATTCATAATACAATTGAAATTCAAAGCATAAATTATATAAAAAATTTTGGATAATTTTGAAAATATAATAAAAAGTTTATATAATAATAATCAAAATAAGTTATTAAAGGAGTCTGGATCCTATAACTTAGTAGATAAGCTTCCAGACCCATCACAGACAAGGCTAATAGTTCAAGTTCAGCTAGAAATGAAATATACTCTGTAATCTAATTAGAAGCCTATAACTGAATGTAAAGCTTTATAGCACAAGTTCAAGTGAATATCTGTTTGAATTAGAAATTCTCAAAAGGAGATCAACTTGTAAAGTGCAGACATTATACTTAGTAAAAGAAGCAATAAATACAGAAAGACCTATAAAAAAGAATTGGCTTTACTAATCAGAGAACACCTCTGGCAAAAAAAAAAAATCTGTAACAGGTATAGTTGTAGAATCTATTTCTGTCTTAGTAAAGTTTATCTTGCAGGTAAAGTAGCCTGAAGGCCTAATGCATATCAAATTAAGTCTAATGTTACAAAAAAAAATTAAAAAATCAGAGACTTTAAATAAGGAACCTACAGATGAGTTTCAGATATGACAATTAACAGATAACCTGCAAGCAAAACCTTTAAATAGACAATAACTAAAATTGTACATGTGGCTAATTGTAGCTTGTTTATATGCAAAATATAATACTCTTTTACATAAGTAATAAATAGACATTATACTTAATAAAATCTATAAAGTCATAGAGGTCTCTCTTTAAAAAAAAAAAAGTAAGTTATTAAATATTTATTTATTTTTTTTTATAAATTTAATTAATATACATATTATATACAATAAACATTGAAAATATTTATCTTGCAGATATTACAAATAATATTTTCAATGAATATCAAATATTATAAGAATCTGTATATCAAAATTTTGAAGATTACATTAAAAAGATCAAATGTCAAAAAGAAAAAAATAATTAACTTCATATGAAGTTGGAGACTTTGTTAAAATTTTTATTTCTAAAATTAATAGATTTAGAATTGATTCTTTATTTTTTTTATACAAAATTATAAGAAAAACAGAGAATAATAAATACTAGTTAGGTTTAAAGTTCAATATAATTAATGTTTATTATTGTGTTAGTAGACTTGAATCTTTGAATGCTATCAAATTTTCTGAAATCATCTAAAAAAATATCAGTTAGAAAAGCATTATGACTTCAAAGTATTAGAACAATGTAAGTTTAATTTGTAATTGCAAAGGCAAATATAATAGTAATAGATTTTGTTGTAAAAAAATAATAGTATATGTACTAGTAAGTATTATAGAAGATGTTTATGTAAAAATAGATTTTAAATTTTCTTAGTTGTATGTAATTAGAAAAATTAGATACAATAGTATACAAATAAATTAGATTTAATTAAATGCAATTAAAAATGTAATAATTAAAAAAAATATGTTTTGTATTTTTTTTATTTGGTTTATTTTATAAATGCATTAGTTGACAGTTGAAATGGCTCAAATGCTGATTGATTAAGGCACCTTACCTAATGATTGACATCTGAGATGTCTCAACTGTTAACTAATGCATATGTTAATTTGAGACACAATATATATATAATTGATAGTATTTTACAATATATTAAGACTACATTTAAAAACATTTGTTTAATAACAACTTGAATAAAAATCTTATAATTCTAAAAATAAAAATTTTATAATTAAAAAAATTATTAATAAATAAATTTATTATAATTTTTTATATAGATATAAACAAATCTTAATATAGTCATTTTTGATATAATTACTAATTAAAATTCCTTATATTAAGACCAAAAGGATCACCTTAGCATCAAAAAAAAAGATTTCTCAAATTCAAATTAAATCAAATATTAGATCAATTTAAATATGATCATCTAAATATATCCTTGATTTGGTTTAATTAAATATTTGATTTAAATATTTGAATTTAATTTGATTTAAAAAAAATTTTTAAATTTTGATCAATAAAAAAAAACTTAATTTATGAAAATATTTGCTATGTTAGTCAATTTTGAGCTTTTAAGCAAAACTGTTCTTCTAAACAAAATACCTCTAATTTTATAAAATAAAAAAATCAATTATCTTAATTAAATTTTGAGTAAATAACTTATAATTTTGAACATTCAATTATAAATTTTCAAATCAAATATTTGTCAAATCAAATCAAATTATGGAACCCTATTACTAATTATATAAAAATAATATTTTTAATTTATCAAGAATTGTAAAACATAACAAATTAATTCTTATATAAACAATATTACCTTAGTTACATTAAATTTTAGTTACCAACACTATAATAATATTGAAATTAGATTATATATTTAAGTTTGCATTTTTAGAGATTTCCAATTTCTAAAGATATTTATTTTTAAAATACTTGTTTAATTTTACAAACCAAGAGCAGACAAGGTACTGGTAAAGTCGTAAAAGAGAGTATTAGATTATATAAACTTCACAAAAGTTGAAAACTCGGATTTCAATTTTTTTTATTTAAAAAGGTGCTAAGACAACACAATTAAAATTAGCATTAGTGTTGTTCAAAGATTAGTAATTAGGCGTGAGTTCTAAATAAAATTGCTCTTCCGCATGTTTATTAGTGAACCAAGAGAAGTTTAAACACCCATTTCTTGTATTTCTGTTTTTTTTAATTGCTTTCCTTTGCTTTATAAAAGTTGTGATTTGATTAGTTAATCTATGTAGAAACCAAATTTTATTGGTTACAGCTGTTTTCAAAAAGATGCGAAAAACGATTTCCATATACACTAGCAATTTGGTAATTTTGATTAGTAAAATTAAAGATCCAATTAGAGCGGGTCTTGAAAACTCCGGAAATTCTGAAATTCTGTATTGTATAGTTAATTTGCATCTTTCCACAATTTTTCGAAAAAAGCTGTAAATTCTGTAAATCACCCAAATAAGGCAATTTGGCATTTGGGTCGGTAAAATTGGGTGTCAAATTTAGTCACAACAAAATGTGCCTTTACAGCTTTACATTCATAGGCCGAAGTTCGTCTGATTGGCTAATAAATTCAATTTAATTTTACATTATTTATACAGTTTAGAGTACTTTTTAAAAAAACGAAAACCAACCACAATAATATAAAAAAAACCATATAGAAGGTTTCATTAGAACCGTAGGACTCCATAATCAAAAATAAGGACTAATTCTTGTCCGTTTAAAAAAATTAGAAGTTATTACTATACTAACCTTTTTAAATGAACGAGAATTAGATCTTATTTTTGGCTATGAAGCCTTTTTTTTATTTCACTATGATTAGTTTAAAAAAAAGTACTCTAAACCGTATAATAATGTAAAATTAAATTGAATTTATTAGCCAATCAGACGAACTTCTGTACATACCACATTTACGTATCTTCGGAAACAAACCCATACCACATACCATATACTCTTCTCATAAGGATTAGTTATTAATTCTATTCGGCTAACTTCAGCCACAACTTTAGGCGGCACAACATTAAATATTGATATTTCCTAAATTATTTAACATCAATAATTTGATTTAGTGTGCTACGTACATACATTACATTAACTCTAAAAATTATGGTTTTAAATTTTCTTCTTTGTGTATTCTGTGACATGTAACATAGCCAATTGCAAGTTACACATTAAAAATCAATTATTTTTTAAAATTATCAATTTATATAAACTTCAATAAAGTTAAGAAAATATTGATTTCATTATTTATACGGATGTTGCCTCTAAAAGGTGTAATCAATAAATTCTTCCGTATTTGAGTGTCGTTAAAAGAAAACCAGCACATCTAAAAATAGAATTATTATATAAACTATAATAAATCTATTTTTGAAGGTGCTGGTTTTCTTTTAACGACACCCATTTCAAACTCACGAACTTTATTTCGAAAAATTGTACAACCTAAAATTCTTTGAAGCAACCCAAAATAATACATATGTGTAAATTAGCCGATCATATAAATTCCTTCCTATATCGGACGATTAGCCTTTATACTAAAATAGCGAACAGAATAAGTACCGCGTAGGTGGGGTATCCTATATAAAGTGATTGAAGGAATTAAATTAATTGCACCGTGCATACTTTGAATTTATTGTATATACGCGCAGATTCTCTTCCGTTACCTACTGAAAACATGGACGAAGTTGTATCTGAAATTAAAATTTATTGTAGAAAAAATAATTCTATAACAAAAGATGAAGCTTGCTTAAAAATTATTGAAGGCTTACCTCGAAATCAATACCTTTTCCTTCCTGAAGGTGAAATATTTGTAGGAAGGAATAATTCAAATTATATCGTTATAAAAGACCAAGAAATTGATGAAAAGAATACAAAAATTAAAAATTATCACGGAAAAGTTGATATCATCTGCATTGGTTCTAAATCAGAAACTTTTGTTAATGGAAAACAACTCAAATTACGTACTTTATATACTTTACAAAAAAATGACTTAATTAAAATAGGACGTTGTACTTTTCAATACCTCCCTGCTGGAGAATTTAAGAATTTTATTGATCCACTTTTACAAATTTATAACAATGATTACTTGTGCAAAAGCTTGGAAACTGGGTTTAGGAATGGTCAATATATGAATTTATTGTTGTTGACTTGTGATTTAGATTATTTTGGAAAAATCAATAAAAACTATGGTCATGAAGCTGGAGACTACGTTTTAATAGAATTATCAAAATTAATTCAAAATAAATATGGGTATAAAAATATTTTTACTAGATATGGAGGAGAGAAATTTGCCATTCTTCTCATTAATACAAATTTAGAGTCGGCTTATGTAACTGCTAAGGAAATTCGGTCTTCTATTGAAACTAACCCATTTACTTTTAAAGACAAAAACCTACCGTCGATTACGTTTAGTATTGGTGTTTCTGGAGTAAATTCTTTGGTGAAAAAGCCTAAGGACTTATTGAATCATGCCGAAGAAGCTTGTAAAAAGGCCAGAGAATATGGTCGTAATAGAGTAATAATATGGGAAAACGAACAAATTTCAATCCGTATGTATATATTAATTATTCCAATCTATATTTATAAATTTACGTTAATACTTAATGCTTTATTTTATTTATGACCCATTGATAGAAAATGTAAGTATATCTTATTCTTTTATATTTTAGCATATTTTGAAAAAATCATAATGGCGATTTGTAACCAAATTTTTCAGGACCCTTTAAAATATTTAAAATTTTCTTTATACTCGAAATTCGCTGAAGGAGGAAATCATTGGGATCAAAATAATCTTGGAGTATGCTACAAAGAAGGATTAGGCACAAAGAGAGATGTGCAAAAGGCATTTGAATGGTTTAAAAAATCTGCTGAAGGAGGCAACCATTTAGGACAATGCAATCTTGGGCATTGTTATCACGACGGAATCGGCACTCAAAAAGATCAATTGGAATCATTTCAATGGTATATGAAATCTGCTGAAGATGGGAATCGTGCAGCACAAGTTATTCTAACTGAATGGATTCGGAAAGGTGTGTGTGATGTAAGTGATATAAGCAAAGATATGGTCCAATCCCTCCATGAATCTGCTAATAATGGAAGTCATTTAGGACAAGGATTGATTGCTTTGTGTTTTCTTTTTGGAATCAGAGTAGATCAAGATAATGCAAAAGCTTTTCAATGGGCTAGGAAATCAGCACTAGGTGGAAATTCTTTAGGCCAAAATAATCTTGGACTTTGTTATCAGAACGGAATTGGTGTCGAAAAAGATGATGCAAAGGCATTTAATTGGTACAAAAAATCTGCACAAGGTGGAGATGCAAATGGACAGTGCAATCTTGGGTTTTGTTATCAAACTGGAATTGGTGTCGAAAAAGAAGCTGCACAAGCCTTTCGGTGGTACGAAAAATCAGCGCAGGGTGGAGATATAAATGGACAGTGTAACCTTGGAGTTTGTTATCAAAAAGGAATTGGGATCGAAAAAGACGATACGACAGCATTTTACTGGTACGAAAAATCCGCACAAGGTGGAAATTTAAATGGACAGCGGAAACTTGGATTTTGTTATCAAAACGGAATCGGAGTCAAAAAAGATGATCAGAAAGGGCTTTACTGGTACGAAAAATCTGCACATGATGGAAATATAAATAGACAATATTATATTGGAGTTTGCTATCAAAACGGAATTGGGGTTAGAAAAGATATTGTGAAAGCATTTCAGTGGTATGAAAAATCTGCTCTGGGCGGAAATATAAATGGACAGTATCAACTTGGTGTTTATTATCTGGACGGAATTGGGGTCAAAAAAAATAGAAAAAAAGCGTTCAAATGGCTTCAGAAATCCGCTTATGGTGGAAATTGTCAAGCCCAAGTGGCATTACAATTAAAATTCCAACCACTCATTCTATCTCAAATCCCACCATTTCCACCAAAAGAGAATAAGGTTTTGAAGATAGATAAAAAATGGGATACGATTTTGGGTGAAAAATTACCATTAATCGAACCCCAACATTATTTTATGCTTAGTAAACTTATTCCTCAACCAAAATTATTATCTCATGAAGTTTATAGAAATGTGGCAGCAGCTCTTCCGTATATTCGACAAAAAATTAAAATGTGGGGTGTTGATATTCTTAAAGCAGAAAACTTTGCGAATTTAGTCAATGAAGAAGACGAGGAATCTTCCGATGATGAGTCAAAGGATGAAAACAAAAAATTAATAAAAAAAAATAGATTATCTAGATTCGATTGCTTTGCTGCTTTACTTGCCTCTGCTGAATCCACTGTTATTCAAGAAATATTTCAAACCATATCGCAATCTTCAATTGCATTTCCTTTATTGATACCCGGCTTAGACGAAGCAGAGAAGTTTAAAGTAATGCTTCCTTTGTTGACCGGACCAGCTATCAAATGGTATACAAGCAATGGATCAATTATAGAAAATCATCTTTTTGAAGATTCTTATAAGATGATTGTTGCAGTTCGGATTGGAATGAATCCTCAAGGAAAAAGTACCATACTTAATCAGTTGATGACTTCAAATTATATGTTCACATCATCATCTGAGCCAAGGGCCGATTGTGGAATTCCATACATGATCAATGGAAGTGTTGAATTTGTATGGTTGACAGAAAAGACTTGTGGTCCCGATCTATGGAATAATGTTTTTAAAAGTTACTATAATGAAGGGAGGAATGAGATTGTATTGCTTGCAAATTTACATGGTGATGCTTTAGATTATCCTGATCAAATTGAATTTCTAAAGCAATTACCTTCTTGTTTCTTGGTTTTCTTAATGCCGGGACATAATAAAGATCAAGAAGTTGAGTTTAGGAACTTAATTGGTTCAAAAAAGGCTATATACATCCATGTTGATTCCGAGAACAGTGCCGAGAACAGTGTAAATAATTACACAATTAATACAAATTCTATAATATGCAATGAAACAATAACAGAAGCTTGTAAAATGTTTAAAGATGTTTTATATCCTGATCCTGTTGATTTTACCGGTACTGATTTTGGTAACTTATCAATTGTTACGTTAAAAATCGGGGAAACACTTCAACTTGCCGAAAAAATAGAATGCGTTGAATCTCAGGAAATTATAAATTTTATTAGTGAAAAAACTTGTCGTCATACTAGATTAGAGATTATGCAACTTCAAAAAAAACAAAGTGGATCTGATTGTATACAATTTTGGGAACGTACACCAGATTTGCAAGAATTAATGCAGTTGTTCAGTTCCATCATGGTCCTACCAATTAGAATAAGAAGAAGAGCTTTGATACATCTTAAAAAAGAGATATCTAGGCTTTCTACAGTTGAATCATCTAGATTTCGAAATGATGCTATATCAAAAAGGAAAGAATTAAATAACGTGAACATTTTGTATAATGGGGAAGAAAAAATAAATAAGATTCGTGAAGAAATTACAGAACTTTGGAAAGAAGTTGATATTACAAGCTTGGGAATAGAACATTTCATTCGTGAATTAGGACAAATGTATAAAATATTTATTTCTGATCCAAAAAAAATTACTTCTGAAAATGGTCTAACTAAAGAAAATATTTCAAAATTACCAGAATATTATGCAGAGCTGTTAATTAGTGGTCAAACTATAGAATTGGTTGATGGTGATTCTGCAACTATATCTGAAGCATGGTTCTTAGCCGTCTGTAATTGTATTAATAAAAAATTTCCCAAACTTAGGATTTTTGTAATCAGTATACTTGGATTACAATCTTCTGGAAAGTCCACTCTTCTAAATACACTTTTTGCAAGTAAATTTGATGTCTCAGTTGGACGTTGTACTAAGGGGATTTTTATGCAATTCTTATTTTTGGAGAAAGACTTATCTAATCAACTTGACGTTGATGCTTTTATCTTGATCGACACTGAAGGATTTTGTGCACCAGGAAATATGGGTGAACTAGAAACCGAAAAGAAGAATCAAATTATAGCAACTTTTGTAATGCGAATAAGCCATTTAACAATTATTAACATACTTGGGGAATCAGCGAGAGAGTTAACTGAAATCTTAAAGATAACTATTAGGACATTGACACGTCTTGACATGTTCCCTGACATACTTATGGTGCAACATGTCGAAGAAAAGAATACGACCAACTTAATAGATTTAGATCATGAATTTCATGCAATTCTTCAAGAAGTTTTGGAAACAGTTAAAAAAAATGATAGTAAGATAAAAGCACGTAACTTTGAATATATAAGTAAGGCGAAGGATAAAAAGCTTCTCAAATTATTTGCGCCATTTAAAGATAATATAAATTCATATTCTTCACCATCGAAGCAATATCATAATGATGTTGTTGATTTATATAATTCTGTAATTGAACATTGTAATAATTCCAAAAGTAAAAAAAGATTTTCAGATTGGTTTTTACTAATTAAAAGTTATTGGGAAGCAGTATCACGTGAAAGTTCTTCAAGCTCCTCTTTCGCAGAAATTGAAGAAACATATGATTTTATTGAGTTTGGGAAACAAATTGCAAAATTGAAAGGATTTATCGACTTGGCATTTTTAAAACATAAGGAATTGATCGAAAATGAAATTCGATCAATTGTTTATGAATGGCTTTCAAATAAAGATTCGGGTGTGAATTTAATTAATTCAAAATGTGAAGAATTGATTAAAAAGTTAGATGATGTTCCTGAGATTAAAAGTCAATTAGATTGTAAAATTTGTAAAAAAATAAATCAAGAGAGAGATAAATTAGATAAATATCATGGAAAAAAGAATAATAAGTTTAAAATAGAGGCTAATCAAACAATCGTTAATTATATTAGCACTCGCCGCAAATTTATATCCACAAAGCTTGAAAATATGCTTGAAGGAATATTAATACGAAATAGATTTTCTGTATTTATTGATCGTATATTGGAAAAAGTCTTAAGCACGTGGAAAAAATTGCCTGATGAAAAGAAACTTGAAGTAGAAGCAAATAAAATATGGAATCAATTACACAATAAAGTATCAGCAGAAAATGAAGACTTTATAAATGAAGAAATAGATAACATAGTAAATGAAGAATATGAAACTATGTGGACATCTGACTTTTTTACAAATTACAAATATAGAATTATTCCAGAATTATCTATGATCAATGCAATAAGTAATGAGGATAAACGCATAGAACAAAATTATATGGAAACACTTAAAAAAGAAATTAATATTGTGGTAGAACAAACTTTACATAATATTAAAAGGTTTAATCCTAGAATTGTACGTAATCTTAAAGACAAAACAGAAAAAAAATTGAATGATCTTTCAACTAAATTTAATGTAAAATTTGATCCCAACTTTGAAAAGAATGTTCACGTATATATGCTATTAAATTTTAGAGAAGAAATGGTAGGAGTTCAATACAAATGGGATAAAGATAATACACCGCTTAGCGTGCTTAAACAAAGAAAAGATGAATATATAGAAATGATTAAGCTTCGTCTTCAATATGGTCATTCACTTATTTATAGAGGTCATTTGACTGGGGCTTATTTATTGAGAGCTATTCATAAAAAAGCAATAGATGCAGAAAATCGGGATCGAAGAGATGATGTGCTTAGCATTCCTTGGATGAAAAATTCTGAAACGATTAGACTTAAATATTTTATTGAACTTGCTGAACAAATTCATAACGGTGACAAAGAAAACGCAACACAGCACTTTTTAATACCTCAAAAAAGAATTGAAGAATGGTTTAAAAATAATGTTAATAACTATACAAAAAAAGAGAAAGGACGAAAATATAAGGAAACTTTTGATACAGAATTTGATTGTGTTTATCAGAAAATTCGTAATTATAAAAGTTATGAAGATATCAAAGAGTTTGTAAACAAATATATGACACAAGTTGACGGTCTTGACTGGCAATTGAATATTAAAGATAATTCAATTACTGAAAAATTTAACTTATTCCATGAAGCTATCATAAAAGAGCTCAATACTAAAAGGAATGGTCATTATCAATTAGAAGAGGAATCACTGCCAAATTTATCTGATGATGAATTGATCAAGAAAAGGCTAGGATGCACAGAACCATGTTACTGGTGTGGTGCTATGTGTTGGGGAGAAAGAGGCCATGATGAAAACAGTGATGAAACAAAAATACATCATTCTAGCCATCAACCTGGAGGTCTTAACGGGACAAAATTTACAAGCTCCAAAAAACTAGTTGCAATAGCATGTCATAACCGTCCGGATGGTAGACGAATGAAGTATAAAGGAACTAAGAAAGCATGGGGTGATTTAAAATCTACTGACTTCAAAGACTGGAGATTTGGACCCCATTACAAGAATGATTTTAATGAAATTATGTGTTGGTTTTTTGAAATGCTGCACGAAGACTTGGCAAAAAGGTTTTATGTTAAGCCAGCAGATGAGTCAGAGTTAGAAAATCATGGTTGCTTAAACAAAGATTACTATAAAATCATTAGTGTATTACGTCAGTGTCTTGAAAATAAGTGCTCTAACTATGATGAAAACGAAGTGTCGGATCATGTTAATTCTGGTCTCTCCGATCTGGCACCTACACTATAGCCAATCATAATTGAGCACCTGAACAACAGAGCCATTACATTTAAAACTTTATGTAAAATATATTTCTTTTTTTAAATAAAAATGTTTGTTTTATTACGTTATTTCAAACCTTCAAATAATGTAAATTTGATTTTTTAAATAATTTAGTAAAATTCAATCACAGTAAAGAGCGTTCTCAATTGCCTCAATCAATGAGTCAAATGTGTCATAAGTAACTGTGGTGGTAATTCAACTAAGTAAATCAAAACTGTGGGCAAACTATAGAATTCATATATTACAGATTTTTTCATGTTACTCGGATGAAAACCAAGATTCGAAATGAGTTCACTACTATTACGACTAACTTTTAAAATATTCTATTACATTGAGGCATGAAATTACCTTGAATTTTTGACAAGCTGTGCTGTTAATAATTCTCTATTAATGCGTGTATTGTGCGGAAGATAATTTAGTACAGTATTTATAAAATTTTGAAATGATACGATACAGTACAAAGATACATGTATATTTAAAGATAATTTCGTACTTTATTGTATAAAATTCGAAATGATACGACTAGTGATGTGCCGTTGTGAGCGGTAGGATGGTGACGTCGGAGGCTCGTTGAAGCAGGAGATCGGTGTGGCACAGTAATGGACCAACAGCTATGTCGATCACTTACCTAAAATGGGCTTTTACCGGCAGTATACACTGTATTCATTGTATACCTAATGTCGGGTGGATAAGGTATATCAGTGTAAAAAGGGGGATCAAAGGGATACGGTGCATAATTATAATAATCAGTACGGACGTTATAATCAGTATAAACAATATAATCGATATTATTGATATAAACATTATCGTCAGTATAATTAGTATAGACGTTATAAGTACTATAAGCGATATATCACGTATGAAGTATATAGCATGTCCTATGTAAATGAAAGTATATAATAAAGGCTTCGAGCCCTACAAGCACAGTTCAGTTAGCGCTTATCTTAAGACCTGTCCCTAAATAATTACTTGCTTTCGCTGAATTATAAAACCTACGATCATAAACACACCACTCGCCAAATCTAACCGCCTCTTATCGACTAAGCCGTTCGTAGGTTACACGACGTATCCGATTGACAAGCGACTGACTCGCCGTTTCGCTCGTGTCACCGGCAATTAATTGCATTAATGCGATTTATTAAATATACATATCAAGGAAGGAGGATTTAATAATTATAAGGGTTTATGTAGATAAATTGGAGGGATAGGAATAAATAAAGGGTAGAAATGAATTTTATGTAATTAAATAAGTCATAATTAAAACTTTAATATGAATAAAGGCCGAAATGGCCCTTAGGACGATATGTCTCGTTTTGCTTTATTAAAAATAACAAGTCCCAAACACATTGTATCGACCATACTATACCTAGTACAAACCTTGTAAAATCTATAATCATCGTTGTTCGTGCAAGTTATTGATCACGTAACATACCCTACCGACCTTCGTTGAACCAAAGTAACCGAAAGCCTTAATCACCCACCAACCAAATCTAACACCCTCTTTCGTAAAGGTTATACATCCTCCGTTACACGAGATTTTGGATTTGGAGTGACCGAGTCACAATATTCCGAACATAACACTAATCATTAAAATCATGAATAACCCATAGTTAAAACTATTAACCCACATCTACGATCGAATTACGAGCCCATTTACTATTGAAATTATCTTTGTTAGGCGAAACTATTTTTGCGTGATGAGCTTAAAAAACTGGCGAAAGACAAAATGGCAAAGTTCAATAAAAAATGAATTTACACTAATCAGGGATTTTAAATTCTAAGTAAACAAGAGCTCGAATATTGTGCATATATTGTGTAGTGTCATAAGATAATTCGTTACCCTGGAATGTCATCATCGATTCACGTAACGTATCGTGTCTTCGTACACAATTATTGTAGTGGTCCTCTCTGTGAAGTCTAATTGCGATACATCAGCCATCGTAAATAAGCCAAGCGAGTAACAAATCATAGCGAAAGCCGAGCATTGCACTCCTAACCGGTTAACTACTTGACATGAAGTAACATATGACCGTTTCGTAGACAACCAGTTCGCAGATATCTTATTTATAGATAGACGTTGTAAAAAGACGAGACGATAAAAAATATTTTAACAAAATAAGTACATATGTAATATATAAATTTAGTTTATATTTTGTATAATTATTATTTCCCTATAGCACGTTTTGCCCTAAGCCTTACTCTAACATTATCAACATTGTAGATTACTGTGCTAATTACTACATAGCAAACCTACACATTTTTATGATGTCATACATAGCAGCACAGCAATGGAAAAAGAGATGTTGATATTTTATAAAAAATTTCAACTTTAGAGCCGAATTATTTGAGGATAAGATGAATGAATTCTAGTTCAATTACAGTTTAAGCTATTCTTCCTGTATTCTAGGTCTTAAACGGATTCTAAGTTCTCGCCAATGATAAGATGAATCACAAAATAAGTCCAATTCTTGATCTTTATTTACAAATTCCATGTCATATCTCATTAAGACTGCCACTAAAAGTACTTTTATTTCAATTAGCGCCCAGAGCTTTCCCTGTTAATGTAGATTATATAAATAAGCAACTTATAAAATTTATTTAATAATTTATGTAAATTATAGCTTTTACTAATACAAACCGGACAAACCCTAGCACCACCACCAAATGTTGCAGCGGCTCTTTTATTATTAGCTTCTTTAGCATTCATTGATCGCTTACTATTCTCATTCTTCAAAAACCTTTCAGGATCAAAAATTTCAGCATCAACCCAATCATCTTTGTTAACATTTATTCTCTGGTAATGTAATATAAATGTTTGTCCCTCTTTCCATAAATATCCACCAACTTCTACAGGTTCAGAATTCGATCTTGGCAGATATGGAAATGGAGGATTTAAGCGAAGTGCTTCTTTAATTAAAGCGTCACAATATGATAGTTTATCTATATCCTCGTAAAGGGAATTTAAAGATATTGAATGACCAAATTTCTCGTTGATCTCAGAAAGTGCTTTAGATTTTACGGAAGGATATTTGCACATATAATAAAATACCAAACACATTGCAGTTGTAACCTATTATTAGTTAAATATTAATATAATGAATATGTATTAGTATTATGTTCATTGCACTATCACAAACATTATATTAAATAATTAGTTACTGTTTCGAAAGAACCCAAGAAAATGTCTCTAATAACACCAAAAATTTCATGATTATTCAACGACCGGTTTAATGACTTATATAAAGCATGATCTAGATCCCGTGGCGTATTGACGGTAAGGAGCAATGTTAAAAAGTCGGACGGGAGTAAAGTATCGTTAGGTAATAAATCGATTTCCGCACGTTTTTTTTGAATTACTTCAAGTAAAATGACTTCCAAGTTTTTTACAACGTTTAAAAGCTTGTTGTTAAAGTAACTTATGCCAGGAGCATGTCTTATAAAAGGTGGTGTGAATGTGAACCCTTGAGTTAAAAAAATTAAGAATTTAATTAGAATGGCTTGTTTAAAATATACATTGCACGGTAATAAATAAAAATTATTACATTGTGATGCTTTAAAAAAGGAATTAATAATAGAAATCAATTTCGAAGATTTTTCCTGTTCTGAAGTTGTAATATAATCAAGATTATAATCATATCCTAGCGAATTAAAATAAGAAAACATTGAATAAGCAGATAGTCCAGTTGATGTTGAGATCGCTATATCTCCATTAAGCTTTTCTAGCCATTTTGAAAAATCAACATCTCGCTTATCATTTATCATAATATCCCATAATTTAAACATATCAGTAGCCTTTTCATAAGTTTTTTCAGTAAGCATTTTTAAAAATTTTTTTGACATTGCTATTCTTATAAAGAATTCACGATTTATTTTCCATTCATCCAAATTTCTATTACCAATAATTCCACAATTATCCATGCCTAATTCATATATTCCAGGATTTGGTAAATCACGATATAAAAATTTATAATTATGAGCCACTGAAGATGTGTGAATTGGATATGCCATATCACTATTTGAAACTAAAAGAATTCTTTTAGGACCAAAGTGAACTTCACAGAAATCCCCATATTTTAATTGAACATCTTTTAAATACTGTGCTATGTTTAACTTATATTTGATCACATCTAAAGTATTTCCTAGGATAGGCACCCAAGGAAATGGACCGGGAAGCGGATTCACTCTAGTAAAATATTTATAATAATATCTGATTATATATAAAAGTATTAACAAAGAAATTGAAGTTGGGAGATTTGTAGTTATAACATTTATAAAATCCATTATCGTTATTATAATATTTGTAAAAAGAAAAAAAAGAAAAATAGATCATAGCACTAATGCTAATGACTATTTTTATTTTATTTCGTATCAATCAGCTGATTGGAAAGTTCCATAAATACACGCCATTGGACATTTTGAGTATTCTTTCAAATGATTGACTTTAAAGTACATATTTATGTATGCACAATATTAAAGTTAATAATTTAAGGAATATTTGCTGCTTATTTATAAGTACGTTCGTATGTACATGGGCAAGATTGACTCGTGCAGTTTTTCAATGGCTTGTGCAACGTTTCAATGGCTTGTGAATTTTTCAATGACTTGTGTATTCTTTAAATGGCATGCGCAGAACTTAGGTGTACAAAAAATACGCAGCTGATCCACTATTTTTGATTGGCTATACTATATAACGACTTTCTGAATCCAAAATTTTTTTCTTAATGACTATCTGATTAAATTTCATGAAAAATTTTTATTTCAATTCTACGGTTTTTTCATCGAAATTTTTCCGGAAGTTATTGAGAAATAATTAAACTTTAAAAAGCATTAACTATCTTAGAACAAAAAGAAAAGGCTGAAACGTATGCACTTTACATAGTGTAACTGTTATGTGTCGTTTATTGATTCCTGTCAATTCGGAATTGACATGTGTCATTTATGAATCCATGAGTAACATATGTCATTTTGGAATCAGTATAAATTTTACCGATTAACGAATGTTCATGCGACACCAGGGCACAAATCCTATTGTAAAATTTCGGAAATTTCCGTTTACACGTGACAATTTCCGGCCCGACTTTTCAACAG